GAGATTTAGGTCGCGTTGTGTTCAAGTAGGCATCCGGAAAATACATTGCCAATCTCTGATTTAGAAGAGGTAGAAAATTGAGTTGCTTTTGAGTGCCGTTCGGCCTGGTCACCTGATCACCGTCTGTACACATATCGATTAATAATTTCTGGCTTGTAGTGAATAATCAATACTCGAATCTTTTCCAGATAAGATAAGATCCCAATGGGATCTTTTCCAGGTAAGCCCTGCCAAAAAAATTAACACCCACCACCCAAAAAAGATTAGAAAAAAGATATGAAACTTTTGGTTTTTATTGCAGAGGGTGAGATTGGGACATATCAGTAATAATTCGCATGGAAAAGTCCGTTTTTCGGTACCTTTGCCTCCAAACGTACTTAAACAAGTAGCTGTCCACTAAAGATTGGTGTGGGCCGAAAATCCACTGCTGGGGAAGGACTCGCCCTGAGTGGTTTTTACGGCGAGACATTAGCGCTTCACCGATTTCGACGTGTAGACCTGGCTCGCCGATAACTGATGGAGTCTGAAAAAGCCGCCAGGCGCAAACTTCGCGAAGAAAGTCCTTCCAGTCAACAGTGGTTGTGTGGCTAATAGATAATTCCTCTGAACAGAATTTGATTTTTGCCAAATCTTTGGAGCAGCAATAAATGAATACAATTATCTTAAACTCCATCCTAGACCGCTCCAGCCAAGTTCGCTTTCGAAGACCGATTTCTTGCTTACACTTTCGGTCATTACACCTCCACCTGTCAGAAACAGTTGAAAGTGTCATTTGGTGGCCATTGTTGCATAAACGTTGCTGATGGATCACTCTGTGGGTTTGCGAAAAACGTATTGCCGTCTCCTTGTCATGAACGATGCGGATGAGGAAATGTTTTCATCAAAAATAGGCCATGGTTGTGTGCGTACATTAAATTGGAGCTGGCAAAAAGTGGTGCAGCTTAACTTTTCGCACATGCACTTTTTGCACTGGTGGCGGGGCTTGTCTGGAAAAGATCCGTTGGTTTTGCCTGACAGTACACATCACAGAAAGCCTAACGTAAAAAGAGCGCACGATTCCAACCCTGATATCTTTTAGGAATTTCCCTTAAAGACCGGGCGGTCAGCCTTCGGCAATCTCCTGATCATGGAAGCGGGCGATAAATCACACTTCCTAGGACCGAGTGCATCAAACAAACTCCAAGAACCGGACTTGTTGATCATCAAACCTTGCAAGTAATGAGAAAATTCGTAAGCCAACCCATGCTGAATGAGTGTCCAACCCTTGATAGGAATCATCGACGCAAGTCAGGGCGACGGGAATCCGCAGACTTCTAGATCGGAGGACGAATGCTACCACTCTGGTGGCCTACTCATTCAAGTCATAACATTTACTCCCTGTAGGAGTATAGATAGGCCTCGACGTGAAAGATTACAGCGGCTAAGTAACGCGGCTCCAAGCGGGGACTGAACATCTGGAAATTCAGTGCCATGTCACATGATCACGTGTGGAATAACGTCTCAGTAAGTTACCCAATATGACTGATGTATTATATTGATCTCATTATCGTGACATTTGTGTTGCTTTGACGCTCGATCATCTTTGACGAACCTCAGTTGACTTTCGAGATTCAAGTGAAATAGGAGCAGACAAGCTAACGTTAAAGACAGCAGCCTTCTTGCGATTGAGCTCTCCGGGATCTGATTAGGTCTTCTTTCATGAAGACCTTTGTGCATCCAAACAATGGCTGGCCATGATGAAAAATCTGATGGTCTCCCAGTAGTTGGGTTTTCTGATATGATCGGCTAGAACACGGTCGTGAATAAGGCCGTCAAACGCCCTTCTTGGATTGTTGCGTGTTATCTAACAAACATAGCAACGATGCTTGGAAAGGCTTTCGGTGTGTTCATGGAGGACCGACTAGGGCATAAGTCTTAGATAGTCAATTTTAAACCACATGGCAGGAAGAAGAAGGCTCTCAGCACTGCACGCAGTCTTCATCAAGGTGTGGCGAGCTATCTGTCACACCAATAGCAAACTGCAAACGAAATTTGTATGAAAATGGTTACCATTACACAGACCTATCTATCAAGGACCGGAAGGCAAATTCACGGGGTAAACAACAAATGAGTAGTCTTGTAAGTAGTGAGAATATTTACGTCATTGAACTTTTTATACATCACTGCAGGGGTAGATTCAGGGGAAACAAAAATGGGCAGGTGAAATGTTACGTTCGATCAGTTATGTTGCGGGTACCACTGATCAGTCTCAACCATTCAGTTCAAAGCAGTTTACCTTTGGAAACTATCAAGTCACAGGTTTTGGGAGTATAAAAAATGAGATTCATTTCTACTTGAGATGTGGTCAGAAGTACCATTTTGCGCTCGCTGACAGATGAACGATTGATTGTGGACTACTCAACGTTCCAAACACAGGTCGCTATGGGCGCAACGGGATGTTATCTTTTGTCGGAAAGTGGACCAGAGATGATCGTTCACCTGCTTCGCATAAAAGGGCCGAATGGCAATACAACCATGGCTGTTTATTGCCGGAGGTGATTTGTGGACATGAACATGGGTACCACTCCTTAAAAAAGTTGTTCGGATGTAGCATCCTTTCACTGCATAAATATCGTGCCACCCGAAGGAAGCATGAGTGTTGGGATACTGCTAGATTGCCCAAGCCTAGGCAGGGGAAGTCGAGACGCAGAGGCGGACCTTCCGTCAGTAAATTCGCGCTCTGACCAATGAACCATTTCGACACGAATTGCATTTTTCATACAGGTAGGAAGAAACTGCGTCTAGAGAAAACAAACGGCAAAAAAGCTGGCTATAAAGAAATCGACTCCTTTTTTTAAAATCACAATGCCAAGTCTACACATAGGGCTTTGTACGACAGATCAGCTGATCAATGAGAGTGCAATAGCCTGGGATCCTGTCATGTTCTGGGGTTCACTGGTCGGATGATCCAACAGAAATCCGAATAATGTGGGCCTGATGTAGTTTCCACATAAGTACGTTGTGCGAAAGAGATGAGTAGAGATCCTATTGAATCACATTGTTTATGACACAGACAGATACGCAGTAGCATAGATCGTGTTTTTCCCAGAGACGCCGTGAGAACCAGCAAATCTCGACATAATGCGCTTTCTGATGCCACAGTTCTATCGCATCTAAAAGAATTCCTCTCTATTATGCTCAGCACTTTCTCTCCCTGGATTAGTGCACAGAAAATCCAAGCCCTTTCTTTTCACTCCGGGTTTTCGCGCCGCTGGAGTTATAGTTAAACAAATGAGTAGGTGAATTTACCACTTGACCATTTGAACGAATGAAGCGATTGAGTCAATCACCAGAGCGATGAGTTCGATGCAACACGATCACGAAGCTCCAATAACTCTACAATGGTACTAATGTCGCAGCTTTCATATGTTTTTTTTCTACATCGATTGGCGTCGATCGACTGAAATTCAATCTCGCCGAACAAAGTCATCAGTGTGCATCAGACAGGCTATCTGTTCCAAAAAGCGTAATCGAACAAGTAGATTCAGTTGTGAATGATCCGCCGGCAAAAAACACCGCTAATGTAAAGAGGCAGAATTTAGAACTCAGTGTACCTCTGGTCGTCGACATGAGGAGAAGTGGACAATGCAATGCAGATAGCGATGGGGATTGAGCCCAAAGCTAATCCCGACCGACATT